AGATTTATAGAATATTTTTTATAAACAAGGATATTTTACAGACATATATAAATGATTTCTTCAAAAATATTCTTATAAAAATATATTTGATGCAACATAGAATATTCATGCAATATTGTGTGTTATCTGGAGTTAGACGAACGATTTGAGTGAAAAGAAAATGCCCTCGAACTTTCTCTTCTGACTCATCCCTATTATACGCTCAGGTCATTTTTCTATTAGTAAAAGGATATTGACCTGCCTATTCATATCCGTTACCGTTACAGTTACCGAAAAAAAGTAATTGTAACGGTAACGGTGTTAGACGAACAATTTGAACGAAAAAAAAATGCCCTCGAACTTTCTCTTCTGACTCATCCCTATTATACGCTTAGGTCATTTTTCTATTAGTAAAAGGATATTGACCTGCCTATTCATATCCGTTCTGCCTTTTCATGTTGTTAGCAATGCCACATGCCCGTGTTTCAACTGTAAGCAACGAGCAAAAATTTTAGGATCTGGATATTAAAAAAAAATAAATTAAGCATTTTTGCATAAAAATTGCTAAAGTAATTAACACTTTTGGTACGAGCGTCGACAATAATGCAATGTTGGTTTATATATTGTTTCTTGTTTCGAAATATATTAAATTTTACTATTAAATTAACTCTTTTTAATTTGTGTATTTGTTTAAATTAATAAATTGCGATATATTACAAAAATTTATTTTAATACTTCTCTTTTATTTTTTGTTAATAAATAGGAATTTTTGAACAGGTTAATATTAACAACATAATATAATATATTGCAAAATTATTAGTAAAATGTCAACAGTTTTCGCGCGGTGTGGAAGCATTCTTGCGGCTCGAAGTCTTGGTTATCGCAACGCGCTTCATGGCTAACGTTTCGTACCGAAAGGGTTAATTAATTTAATAGTTTATTGTTATAGTTCTTGAATGTTTCTTTCTTCTAACATTGTTACATTATTTGTATTTTTTTATTTAAACTTTTTCTTCTCCCTCCTCGTCTTCTTTCTTCCTTCCCTCTTTCCTTCAATATTAATTTTTAGCGGATAGAGCAATAAAGAATTAAAACAATAAATCAACAATAAATTAGCACTTAATTTTGTTGATATATCCGAATTTGATTTTTAATGGTAAATAGTGTTAGATTAATAGAGATGCAGTCTAGTTTAAACAAATAAATCAGTAATGAATTATGTGGGTTGTTTATTACGTAATTTACAGTACTGTTTATTTAATTAATTACAGATGTTTATTTTTACAGGGACTGACATGCAGCGTTATCTAGACTCGCGGGAGATTTGTGTGGAACATACAATATCTAGAAATGTAGATTGTAAGCGATGTTATCCTGAAGATAATGCAGGATACTATCCTGAGGATAATACATCATATTATTCTAAAGATAATGCATTATATTGTCCTGAATGTAAGGGGGCATATTATCCGATAGATAATGCGTCATATCATCCTGAAGAGAATGCATCATATTGTCCTGGATGTAAGGGGGTATGTTATCCTGGAGATAATGCATCATATTGTCCTGAATATATGAGGATACTTTATCCTAAGGATAATACATGAAATTACATACCACGCACACGAAATTTTGAGAGTGAAGATAATGCGTCATATCCTCAGGTTTATGCATCATATTATCCTGAATATAACAGGATACTTTATCTTAAGAATAATACATTGAATTACATACCACGCACACGAAATTTTAAGAGTCCTGAAGACAAGCCGTTATATTATCCTTATTCGCCAAATACTGACCATACGGAAAGATTGGATATAGATGGCTCCATTTGCACGCTCATGTCGTTTGATAGATCTGTAACGAATTGTGAGCACACCACACTTGAGCGTGAAGTAACGTACAGTTCTGATCGTTCTGATGTAGATCGTTTACCAAAACAAGTGGTACAATTTTTGATTATGACTAAGAAAAATGCTGAGATTTTGCTCGAGAAGTCAAATAATATATGTCACGATCTGACAGTCGATTATATATTGCTCGACTTGTTAGATGATTTAAGAGAATTTCAGCCACAGGTAAATGTGTGTGCTTACGGGTCTATGATCTCAGATCTAGGACTCCCCAAGAGCAATGGTGATATTTCTCTTGATTGTGGTAAGTTAATTTTAATTTATAAAATAGGTTTTTTTATAGGTATATGTATAGTTAGAATGATTTCTTTAATTTGTTAATACTTAAAATATTTTCCTGCGTACCTGAGTTTATCAAAACAAGAGCATTAACATTTTAATATAATTATCATTTTTGCTATTTATATTGAAATAGTATATCATTTAAAGTTTATTTACAAAACAAAGAGTGTGTCAAACATTTTGATATTGATTTATATAACTTTTGGGACTTGCAATTATATCAGAAATAAAATAAAATTTTATTTTTACTTTCAAATATGCAATAAACTAGCAATGTAACAATTTGAAAATTTGGTTCCTACAAATTTTCATTTATTATATATTACTTTTTATTATCATGAGTTATACATATATATATATGCTTTGTATCTATTTATTCTAATTTTTACTCTATTCTTGTGATTCAGATAATATGTATGAAGGAAGAAATTCAACGCGTCGTCATTGTCAGACTCTGATTGAAACGATTGTAAAATATCTATCCTTTAATAAACGATCGTGGAAAGTGCACAAAGTGATATTACATAGTAGAATACCAGTTGTAAAAATACAGCATGTTGTTTCTGGACTTGCTTGTGACATTTCAGTTACAAATGGGCTAGCAGTGGAAACTACAAAAATAATTAAGTAAGTTTTTTTTTCTTTTTTGACATAAGTCTGAAATAAAAGTTTTTAGTAAAGTTTTTAGTTATTTTTAGTATTATACTGCATTTTCTGCGACACAAACAAAAATAAAACTTTTTTTCAAGGTGCTTTAATAGTGCTTTTCCATTGTGCCGAGAAATGATTTTATTTCTTAAACGATGGTTGCACTTCTGCGCCTTATTAGGATCGCGTCTTGTAACAAGCTACGCCATAACGTGATGCGTTATCTTTTATCTGCAAATTCTAAAAGTATTTCCCAGCATATCAGAACTGATTAAAAAAGAAAATAAATCACGGCGAATTAGTGGTAAGTAGGAATATTTTTTTAAATATCTTTATAAAACATTAACCATTTTTTTATAAATTTAATTTCATTTAAACGAGTTAAAGTGTTAACTTAATAAATAAATTAGAGTAAAAAACAATAATTATTTACTAATTAATATACTCAACTTATATATTTTATGTTTATATGCTTATGTACTTTTCAGTTTACATATACTCAGTATTTAATTTTTTTTTCAGGATGGGAAATTGGTATAAGCTGTGATTTTTCTATTAGGAAAATAGATCACACTTTTGAAGAACTTTTATTAGAATTTTTTATATTCTATGCAGATTTTAATTTTAAAAATCACGTGGTTTGTCCATTATTGGGCCAAACAATAGAAAAAAATGCATTTAGGAATCTATCAAATTTACCGCAAGATATGATTTCGTATATTAATTATATGCACAACGCTTCTACAGAAGACAAGCCTCGAGCTTTTTACATATCGTCGTTATGCGTGCAAGATCCATTTGATTTGTCAAATAATGTTACAAAGGCAGTGTCTTATTATAAGCTAAAAATGTTTCAGACTTATTGCAATTATAGTGCAAAAATACTAAAAAAGACTACCCCACATCTGAAGCCACCGTCATAATCTTATCTTAATTACTATACATACACGCAGGAAAATATTTTAAGTATTAACAAACTAAAGAAATCATTCTAACTATACATATACCTATAAAAAAACCTATTTTATAAATTAAAATTAACTTACCACAATCAAGAGAAATATCAACATTGCTCTTGGGGAGTCCTAGATCTGAGATCATAGACCCGTAAGCACACACATTTACCTGTGGCTGAAATTCTCTTAAATCATCTAACAAGTCGAGCAATATATAATCGACTGTCAGATCGTGACATATGTTATTTGATTTCTCAATCAAAATTTCAGAATTTTTTTTGGTCATAATTAAGAATTGTACCACTTGTTTTGGTAAACGATCTACATCAGAACGATCAGAACTGTATGTTACTTCACGCTCAAGTGTGATGTGCTCACAATTCGTTACAGATCTATCAAACGACATGAGCGTGCAAATGGAGCCATCTATATCCAATCTTTCCGTATGGTCAGTATTTGGCGAATAAGGATAATATAACGGCTTGTCTTCAGGACTCGTTAAAATTTCGTGTGCGTGGTATGTAATTCATTGTATTATTCTTAAGATAAAGTATCCTGTTATATTCAGGATAATATGATGCATAAACCTGAGGATATGACGCATTATCTTCACTCTCAAAATTTCGTGTGCATGGTATGTAATTCCATGTATTATTCTTAGGATAAAGTATCCTCATATATTCAGGACAATATGATGCATTATCTCCAGGATAACATACCCCCTTACATCCAGGACAATATGATGCATTCTCTTCAGGATGATATGACGCATTATCTATCGGATAACATGCCCCCTTACATTCAGGACAATATGATGCATTATCTTCAGAATAATATGATGTATTATCCTCAGGATAGTATCCTGCATTATCTTTAGGATAACATCGCTTACAATCTACATTTCTAGATATTGTATGTTCCACACAAATCTCCCGCGATTCAAGATAACTAATTTAAAAAAAAAATGTATAGTAATTAAGATTATGACGGTGGCTTCAGATGCGTGGGGTAGTCTTTTTTAACATTTTTGCACTATAATTACAATAAATCTAAAACATTTTTAGCTTATAATCAGACACCGCTTTTATAAGATTATTTGACAAATCGAATGGTCGAATGGATTTGACGAATCGTAATTATGTCTTCCATTAATCATACGTATATTTTATACATCTAATATTTTTATTTTGTTTTTTATTTTTACCATCTTTTGTTATTATAATATATCAATCATCTTTTTATGGTAAATATAATATGCAATAGCATGTGCAAAATTTTTTTATAATAAAATCATAAATCTTTTTTCAATTTAAATTGAATATTTTATATGTATCATGGTACATATTGTGATTCTTACAATGTGTGCTTTCTTACAAAACTTGTTTATTTAATTCATAAAAATTATATTTAGAATTTTTATATAATTTTATCTTCTTCTGATAATCTTACATCTCTTTGGTTTTTAATCTTTTTATATGATTCTTTGTAAGACTTTTATTTTTGTAATAAAATTATTGTAAATCTATTATATTTCTATATTATTTATTTCCTTAGACTTATTATTTTAAAATAAAATAATCTCTTTTGTATCGTTTTATAATACAGTAGTTTATGCAAGTAATAAAACAATTGTTATTGATCTCTGGATAATTAAAATAGAAAAATATTAAAAAATCTTATAAGTAAATAACAAGTAAAAAAATCAATTACATTTATCTGTCTTGATTTATTTTAGATTCAGTTTCTTTTTGTACAATGTCTCGCTTCCATATATATTCTTTTACATATTTATCTTTAGGTATACAAGATTTTTTATAAGTAAAAACAGCCAATATTTCTCAATTAAGGCAATTGACAATGTCTTTTTGAAATTGAAGAAATTTAATAGCTGTGGCATTATTTGCAAATTAATTTTTATCAAATTATTCATTGGTATCAACAATTATGTATACGTAATAATGTTCAAAAATTTTTTAAATATAATCTCCAACTGTATAATTTTAATAATAGTCCACACCTTTGGTTTAATAATAGTCCACTCAAACACATATAAATGCTTACTTGAAATTCAAATTGCCTATCACCATCGCATTCTAGACATTTTGGTATATTTGTTACTTGATTATTAAAAATTTATTTAAAAATTTTTTAACTATTTTTTCAAAAAATCGCTTTTTACTAAGTTGCGTATACTTTTTCTGAATATAAATATCATAATTGCTATGCGTTTTTGCCGTAATTATGACCGAAATTTGTTTATTACGATTTCGAGCTTTACTTTTATTCCGACAGGGGAGGTGCTAGTTTCACTCCTGGCGACCCTTAAATATAAAGGCCATCACACACAAAATGACATAACTGCATATGCATAGCATAAGACCGTCTCGACCAATGAGCATGCTATGTAAATCAATATGGCGCCTTTATGCTAGATGTTCATTGGTCGAGACGGTCTTATGCTATGCATATGCAGTTATGTCATTTTGTGTGTAATAGCCTTAAAAACGGACTATGAATACCGCCCATAGTCATATCATTCGTAACATGAGTACGCGGTATGATGTTAGAAAATGACCAATGGTTATTGTGAACGCACTTTGTTAGTCCGTTGCTCACGAGATGCGTTGATGCTCTTAGATGATGGAGATCGTGTTCAATTGTTTGTGAATATGCGTCTAATTCGATCGTGCATTTACGATAAACGATACAACCGATAAAATGTCAAACCGGAAGAAGGACGAGATCTACCACGATATTTCATCGTTGTCGCTGTTATTGTCGTAATCATTTATTCTGTTCGCGCGAAACGCTTGCCCACCCGGTGTGATAGTGCGTGAGCACGAACCAACATAGAAAGAAAGAAAGAGAGAGAGAGAGAGAGAGAGAGAGAGAGAGAGAGAG